TCAAGTTCAGCCTGAACTGCATAGCGAGACCCTGTCTCAAAAAGAAATAAAACAAAACAAAACAACAAAAACCAAAGTGCTGGGATTACAGGTGTGTGCCACCATGCCTGGCTTGCTCCTTTACTTGTGGTGGGTTTTTTTCCTATGTGAATTTTAAATGTTTATATACTAAATTATACTGTCTGACATAACATTGTATAACATTCCTTTTTTTGAGACATGGTTCTCGTTATGTAGTTGAGGCTAGCCTTGAACTCACTAGGTAGCCCAAGCTAACCTTGAATTTATGATCCTCCTGCCTCGGCCTCTGAATGCTAGAAGGTCACCATACCCAGTCTATCTGTTATACCTTCTGTATTTTGTGAAATATTTAGGAAAGTCCTTTTTATCTCCAAATTATAAAAGTTATGTGATTTTTTTAAATATGATTCATTTGTTATCTTTATTTTTAAATTTTTTTATTATTATCTTCTAAGATAGGGTTTCTCTGTGTAGTTCAGGCAGGCCTTGAGTTTACTATGTAGCTCAGGCGAGCCTCAGACTCGCAGCAATCCTCCTGCTTCTGCCTCCCGAGTGCTGGGATTACAGGCATGCACCACCACACCCAGCCTTATTTGTTATTTTTAAATATTTAAATCACCTGGAATTTATTCTGCATCAGACTTCCAGACTCCCATTGGGCTCGTAGGCAAGAGCTCCAGCACCATTTATTGAATACCTTTTTTTATTTTTGACTTTTTGAGGCGCTCACTAAGTAGCTCAGGCCGGCCTTGAACTCAGGCCTCAGCTTCCCAAGTGCTGAGATTACAGGTGTGCGCCACCACTCCTGGCTGATTTATTGGATAATGTATGCGTCCTCCCCACTCATTTGTCTGTGGTTGGATGATCTTGTGGGGCAGTGAGATTCGGTATCAGAAGAGTTTCGGGGGCAGTCCCGCCTAGCAGATTAACCACAGAACACCCCATGGGCCATGACACCCCATGGGCCATGCCAAGGAAGAGGAGGTTCCACTGTTGCAGTGCTGTAACACAAAAAGTGCATGCCTGGATTATTACAGGAGAGGAGAGCAGGGAGAGGAGGGGAGGGGAGAAGAGAGGAGAGGAGGACGTGATGGTCCCAGCCTGCCCTGGCTCCCCCACACCCGATCATCTCTCTAACTGCCTCGCCCTACTGTTAACCTTGGAGAAATCTAGACCCAGGTTCCTGCATTGAAATCTTGGAGAATTCAAAATCTAATTCATACGTGGCTTTTTTTTTTTTTTTTTTTTTTTTTGTCTTTTTGAGACAGAGTTTCGCTATGCAGCTCAGGCTGGCCTTGAGCTCACTTTGTACCCCAGGCTGGCCTCAAACTTGCAAAGATCCTCCTGCCTCAGCCTACCGGGTGCTGGGAGTGCTGGGATTACAGGTGTGCACCACCACACCCAGTTTATCAGTTTGTTTTTAGGAAACGGTACAGCCATCACTTTTCTCAGTGGAACAAAACTTGGAGCCCTCCCTTGCGATGGGTATGAGAGTCTGGGCCTGAAACCGGGTGAAGGACTAGGTAGCAAGGGCAAGGTGACAGGAGGGGCTCAGGATCAAGTGACTGCAGGAGCTCATCTGGAAAATGCTTCACTGTTTCTGAGACAAGGTCTAGCAAGTGCTGGGATTATAGACAGGAGCCACCACACCCGGTGGATCTGTGTTCTTGTTTTTGCTTAGTTTGTTTTGGATTTGGTGTTTTTTTTTTGAGATAAGGTCTCACTATGCAGTTCAGGCTGGCCTTGAACTTCTGGAAATTCTCCTGCCTCAGCCTCTTGAGTGCTGGGATTACAGGCATGCACCACCACACCGGGTTCAGATCTGTATTCTTTTAGAGTATATTTATGCCATAAAGGCTGAGAGCAAAAGACTGCCATTACCCGGATGTGTTAACAGATTAGTGAATAATGCCGGGTTTCTTCCCAGTGTGCACCACTTTTTTTTTTTTTTAAGTGGTACTGAGATTGAACCCAGAACCTTCACACTGAGGTATATTGCCAGTCCTTTTTATTTTATATTTTGAATCAGGCTGGGCTTGAACTTGTGACCTTCCTGCCTCAGCCTCCAAAACTGCTGGGATTATAGCTGTGTGCCACCGGTCCTGTCTTTCAGGCTGCAGAAGGGACTATGATTTCTAAAACCCATTCTGCCTGATCTCCCACCAGCCCTGAGAGCTCTAGGGGTCCAGGCCTTGGATTGCAAGCCTAGAGCCTGGCAAATATTTTCCACCTGCCAATCACAGCCTCGGCTCAGTTCACCTGGGGACACCGGGGCGTAGAGATAAGAGCACAGGTGTGTCCAAGCCCAGCTCTCACAGCTCTGAGACCCTGGGCCAGCTCAAGGGAGTCCCTGAGGGTGAACATTCCGACCTCCGGCCGTGTGAGGAAGAAGCTGTGAAGCCAGAGAGGTCAGGGCAGGGATAGTGCCCGGGGCTCCTAGACCGTTAATAAATGCCGAACTCTCGCACTTGACCTTGAGCGCCCTCTTCTCCGTGGAGCCAGCTGAGAATGGGGTGGGTGCCACCTTGATCCTCAGACCCAAGTCCTCGCAAAGAACACATCCACAGGCTCTCTGAGGGTTGAGGAGGTCACTGCTACTCACTGCTGGAAACGGGAGACAGTGGAAGCCAACACGGGAAGTGACAAAACTGTACAGCTTCTCCCTTCAGCACCCTTAGCCCTGCAGCTGCATGCAGTCAGAGAGTAGCACGAAAGTTAGCACGGGCTGCCGGGAGCGGAGAAGCGCAGCTGGTGCCTGATAAGGTCAGCGCGTCCTGGGGGAAGATGGCGGGGTGGCTGCTGCGTGTGCGTAAACACGCTCACTGCCGCGAACTGCACGCTTGAAAACTGTTAAAATTGGGGCTGGGGATTTAGCTCAGCGGCAAAGCGTCTGCCTGGCAAGTGCAAGGTCGTGAGTTCGGTTCCCGGTACCGGAGGGAAAAAAAAAAAAACCTGTTAAAATGGTGACTTTCACGTTCTGTATATTTTCTACAGTTTTTGAGACCCTAAGGGGGGTGGGGGCTGCAGGGCGGACATGGACACTGGAGAGTTCCTTCATGGACGGCTTGGGGGGCTGTGAGCCCCAAGTGCCTCACGCTTACAAACCACGTTCTCTGTGAGCTGTGTGGCTGGCACTCTCTCCCTTCAGGTGAGCTCCACCCTTAACAAGAGTGAGGTCGGGGCTGGGGATTTAGCTCAGCGGCACAGCGCCTACCTGGCAAGCGCAAGGTCGTGAGTTCGATTCCCGGTACCGGAAAAGACAAAACAAACAAAAAAAAGTGAGTGTCGAAGCCACGGCACTCCCCAAAGGATAGTCCGCTGCCCCCAAAGTGCCACTCAGGCCATGGCGCTTGTCCCTGGTTAGGCTCTCTATTCCCTCTGTTCTTGTTGTAAGAACTCCTTTTCCTACCAACAACCATGGCCCAAGACAGGGAGCACCACCTGAACTTCAGAGGGGCCTGACTCTAAGGCCACCATGATCTACCCCACCCGGTCACAAGACCTTTGCAGGTGGCAGTCAGACAGAGATGACCTTGACATGCCCTGAAGCACCAGGGGAGAGATACGCACAGCTGTAAAAGATAGGATGGCTGCTCCAGAAGGAAGGTGGATTTGATTCAAGATTAATATGTGCAAAGAAGGAATGTGTCCCCCCAGGGAGTGGCTGAGGCAAGGAGAAGAGAAATGTTGTCAGCTTCACAGTCGCTGAAGAAGCAGAATTCCTTCGTTCATGCATTTGTTCATTTGTTTATTCATTCATTCATTCCACAAATAATCATTAAACCTTCTCCCTGTCCCAGGCACCGTGCAGGTGTGCAGATGAAGGGTGAACAAAGTGGTTAGGAACCCTGTTTCCGTGGAGCTTACTATATCATAAGAGGGACTCTGACAGTAACAGGGTCACCAAGCGCAGTAAATTAGGTATCAGGTGGCGATCCGGATCCCAGCACTATTCACACAAGGACATGCGAAGACGCAGAGGTGGAGCCCAGCTCTGTGTGGGGAGGAGGGGTCTTGGCTGGTGGATTCCGAGCCTCCTCCTCCCAGTGGCAGGATGGATGTAGCAAGCTGCCCGGGGCTGGCACCTGGAACAGGACAGGCGTATAACTGACCCGCTTGGGTTCCACGAGGCATCCTTGTGCTCATCCTCTGGCTTCCCACAGACTTTCGAGAAGGAAAAACCGGCGGCAGCTTGTGTGACGCTGCTAACCTTCAGTGTAAAGGAACATGTGGTACATGATATAAATCCATATAGTACACTACAAATACCCACATCGCTGACACTGGTTAATGCACCTCCACCCCTGCAAGTTGAAGTGGCCTGGATAGGTAGGCTGTGGATGAGACCCCAAGTCTAACAGACTCCAAACTCCTGCGCTACTGCGTAAGGCTACTTGGAAGCCGGTCAGCTGCCCTTCCCTTGAGCATAGTATTCCATGTTTGATCCAAACCACTGCACCTCACCCAGCTGCCACTTACTCACCTGTAAAATGGGCCTGATAGTTGCAATTTTCCGGGTGGTGCTGGGAACCAAATAAGATAAAATGTCCAACAGCCAGCAAGACTCAACTTTTTTTTTTTTTTTTTTTTTTTTTCTTTTTTTTTGAGACAGTATTTCACTATGCAGTTCAGGCTGGTCTTAAACTCACTTTGTAGCCCAGACTGGCCTTTGTAGGTCTTGAACTCACAACGATCCTCCTGCCTCAGCCTCCCTAGTACTGGGATGATAGGCATGCACACCACGCCCGACCCAAGACTCAATGTTTTTCACCTCACTCTTCCTGCTGACAGAGGCAGCCATTTTTTAAACAGATCAGGTCTTAAAAATACGGGACGCTCAGCTTGTATATGTGCTTCCAAAGTGGGCACCCTTGTCCCTTACTTACTGGACCACTTTCCAACCTCCTAGTGGCCTCCTCATCCCCATCCACCACCCTGCAGGCTGATACCACTTTTAAACACAGGCCTAAGCACGACCCTCCCTAAATAAAACCAAACCCCTTAGCACAGGCCCAAGAACCCGCTGCTCTCTGCCATGGACCCAGGCAGCGTTTTCCTCCCTCCCCCAAGGCAGGTGCACTCTCGACCTTGCGCCGCTCCCTGGGGTTCCGACGCGCCCTTCTCTGACTGACAACCTGCAGTGCAGCCCTCAGAGCCTGGGCTCACATCAGCCCCCCTTGACAGCCAGCCCGGTCTCCGCTGGCCCAGTCAGTCTTCGCCCCTGTGTGCCCACAGCTCCCTTCGCCTTCTCTGGCTCAGTGCTCAGCCCTGTGCTGTCTCTCACTCCGTGTCTTTTTCCTTCCACTACAGTGTGAGCCGGGTGAGGTGGCACACGCCACTAATCCCAGGACTCAGGAGGCTGAGGCAGGACGATTGTTGGGAGTTCAAGGCCAGCCTGGGCTACCAAGTGAGCTCAAGGCCAGCCTGAACTACATAGTGAGACCCTGTCTCAAAAAGGAAAATTTAAAAAAAAAAAAAAAAAGATTTTTGAACTCTAAGGAAGAATTTCGTATCATTTATCATTCTTTTTTTTCTTGGCACGGGGAATCGAACTCAGAACCTTGCGCTTGCCAGGCAGCCGCTTGCGCCACTGAGCTATATCCCCGGTCCTCATCTATCATTCTTGTGCTTCTTTCTTTTTTCTTTTCTTTTTTTTTTAGTACTGAGGATTAAATCCAGGGACTTTGCCCTGGACTTTATTTATTTATTTACTTTGCACTACGCCCTTTTATTTATTTAGTTAGTTAGTTTTGAGACAGGTCTCACTAAGTTACTAAGTTGTCCAGGCTGGACTTGAACTTGTGATTCTCCTGCCTCAGCCTCCCAGAGCGCTGGGATCATAAGCATGTGCCCACATGCCCAGTTTATATACGTGAAATAAACTGACCAAGGCATGAACACCCTGTGACTAACATGGGCCCAGCAGCAGTTGTAAGAGCCTCTCCCTGCGAAGCCTACCCTGCTTGAAAGATGTTAGCTATCAGGGGGAATAAACTACGTCCAGACCCAAGGGAATACAGCCTGTCTCCTCCCAAAGTAGTGTCTGGCCCAGAGCGGAACGCATGACAAATGTTTGCAGGCTTGCCATTGGTTTGCAAGAAAACCCAGGCCAGTGGTAAGCAAAAGTGCCCATTCTGTATTGACCTGGCTTCCCCATGCCCTTGAGGTCAAACTTTTTAGAAACGGCCCAACTGCAGTCCAAACCCTACTTATTTATCACAAAGTGCCAGCACTGCAATTAAACTGGAATACTGAGGTTTTAGTTTAGAACAAACACTCATACTTCACATCTTCTGTCTTAAAAGAAAAACAGCACGTGTGCCCTAGGTTCGCCACCGCTGCCTGTGTCTGGCCTTCCAGGTTGGCCGCGAGGCTGTGCCGCGAAACTCTTTCAGGAGGGGCTGGAGGGAAGGGCGCCGCAGCCAGCCCTGGAGGGGGTCCTGGGTTCCAGGCACAGGGGAGGCCAGGAGTGGGGTGCTGTGGGGCAGATGGGCGGCAGATGGGAAGTCCTTCAGATCTGATATGCAGCTCAATTGGGCTGAGGCGATGAACTTTAGAGCACAAAACCTTGGCCCCCTGTCTTGTGCCTTTGTGTTTTGTTTTGTTTTGTCTTTTTTGTTTGTTTGTTTGTTTGGTTTTTTTTTTTTTGGTTTTTCTCCAGTACCGGGAACCGAACTCACGACCTTGCGCTTGCCAGGCAGGCGCTTTGCCGCTGAGCTAAATCCCCAGCCCCTTGTTTTGTCTTCTTTTAGACAAGGTTTTGATCTGCAGTTCAGGCTGGTCTTGAGCTCACTTTGTAGCCCAGGCTGGCTTCGAACTCGCAACGATCCTCCTGCCTCAGCCTCCCGAGTGCTGGGATTACCAGCGTGCACCACCACACCAAGCCTGTCTCGTGCCTTTGTGTGCACATTTTTGGACCCTGTGTCCAGAAACAGCAGTGAGCACTGTGCCCTGTGTGGCTCGGCTGGCCCGCTCTCCCCGCTGGAGCATGAGCCGTCAAGTGGACTCTCATTTTTGGACAGAGACGGACAGAAGGGGAAACAGTTACAACCTAAGGAAAATAACTGGCTTTTTGGGCCAGAAACGCCCCACGATGTCTCCATGTGAATGTAATTCTGTTTGAACAAGTTGAACTGAGTTTAATTTGGCTGATGTTGAACTTGCAACACACACACACATATACAGACCTTTACCTGGGGGAAAAGAAAGCCCCCACTCCTTGGGGTGTATTTTAAGCGTAGGTAAATTTAGAAGGCCGTCCTCAAGCCCCGACAGCTGGCTACCCCGAGCCTTGCTCTGTGCACAGAGGAGTGTGTCAAAACTGGCGCAAGCTCTGGCAGCTGAGATGCCCACATCACGCAGAAGAGAACAGCGGGGAGGAGGAGGCGGGCGCCCAGGGAGCCTGCTGAGTGACCTTCGCAAGTCACTTAGCTTCTCTAAGCTTCACAGGTCTAGGGGAGCCTATGGTCCCCCTCCCCACCTATGGCAGGGCTGATGCTGGGCATAGTCAGTAAACCATGCCCGGGGTTCACTCTTTAGTGCTGGATCATAGAGAGAGGACCAGGGCCCTACAGGGAAGGAGCCATTCTGGTGCAGAACACTCAATGGGCAGAACAGTGGCTGTTTGTTTACCAACTACTGCCATATCAATAGAAGATCGTCATTTGGGAAGCTGAGACAGGAAGACTGTCACAAGTTTGAGGACAGCCTGGGCTATATAGTTAGTGCAGAGGTAGCCTGAACTATGAAGCAAGACCCTGTCTCAAAAAAAAAAAAAAAAAAAATGAGGGGGCTGGGGATTTAGCTCAGCAGTATAGCGCCTGCCTGGCAAGTGCAAGGTCATGAGTTCGATTCCTGGTACCGCAAAAAAAAGACCAAAAAACCAAAAAAAATAAAAGAAAAGCAGCCAGGCGTGGTGGTGCACAGCTGTAATCCCAGCACTTGGAGGCTGAGGCAGGAGGATAGCTGTGAGTTCGAGGCCAACCTGGGCTACAAAGTGAGCTCAAGGCCAGCTGGAACTGCATAGTAAGACCTTGTCTCAAAAAGACAAAAAAAAAAGAAAATCATACCAGCTGCACCTCTTGTACCAGTGTGTCTCATGAATAGCAACTTCCCTATGGGCTTTCAGAGAACATTAAACAAGGTCATTGTTATGGCTTGTATCTAGAGGTCCTCCCAGAGCCTCAGGTGCTCCCGGTTGAGGCTTTTCAGAAGTGCTGGATCTCGGGTTTGTGATGCTGGGATTGATCCATGGTGGGATGCTAGAATGGAGTGTGCCTGTTATGGTTTATGTCTGTGTGTCCCCCCAATGCCTCATGTGGACATGGGGCAGGCTTTTAGAGTTTAAATATGGGTGTGAGAGCTACACCCGCCTGGGAGTGGATAGTTTGCATATATAAGGGACAGGAAAAGAGTGCTTGGGGCATTCCTCCCCCATTCCGCCCTGGTGGGTGCTTGCGGCTTAGCTGTGGCTGCCGTCCTGAGATGCAGCTCTCTGTCATGTGCCACTCTGCCTTATAATCTGCCAAGTACGGGCTGAAACTTCCACAAACTGTAAGCGAAATAAACCTTTCCTTCCTTAATTTTGGGCGTCAGGTATTTTGTCCCAGCAGCAAAAAAAAAAAATAACCAAGACAGTGTCCCACCCTGGGTGTGAGTGCCACCCGCCCTGAGGATGAGTAGCCTGGATAGCCTATAAGGGACAGAAAGAGGCCTGCTGCTATCGCTTGCTGCTTGCTACTTCCCTGCTGGCTGCCCTCTGCCTGCCCTGCTTTCCATGGACTGTTTCTCCTTTGTGATGCCCTCTGCCGTGGCACCCTGCCTTGGACCCAGCCAGCTATGTGCTCAAACTTCTGGAAACTGACCTGAAATAAACCTTTCCTCCTTTAACGACGGGCGTTGGGGATTTCACCCCAGCGAGGAGAAAAGGAGCGCAGATCGTCATGAAGATGAGTGAATGAGACAGTGAGTAAGTGGCTGGGCCTCTTGAACTATACCCATGAGTCAAGAATTATCTCATCTAGTGAATTATATTTTATGCTTTGGTAGTCATGCCGGGCAAGCGCTCTGCCACTGAGCTATCCCCCCAGCCCTCATCTCCTAGCTATTTTATTGAACACTTACAATGCGACGGTTTGTGTGACAGAGAATACAGCGCTCGTTTAGCTCCTGCTTCCCCCGCAGGGCAGTCAGGGATGGACGGCAAGAACC